CACAAAAAAGGACGAGTTCACGTCCTTTGCAGGGACATGGATGAAGGTGGAAACCATCACTCTCAGCAAACTAACACAGGAACAGAAAACCAGGCACTGCATGTTCTCACTCGTAAGTGGGAGTGAAACAATGAGAACACATGGACACTGGGAGGGGAACATCACACACCAGGGCCTGTCAGGGTCGGGGGGAGGCTAGGAGACAGATAGCATTAGAAGAATCCAACACCATTTATTAACTAATGTAGATGACGGGTTGATGGGTCCAGAAAACCACCATGGCTAGCGTATACCTATGTAACAAACCTGCATGTTCTGCACATGTATCCCAGAACTTAAAATATAATAAAAAGAAAAAAGACTGTGTACTCATTTTTGATTGCCATGATAAATTCAGAAAGGAAAAATGTGATAGATGTTAAATTTTACTCAAATAACTGCCTCTGGTCATCAGCCCCATCCTATTCTATTACCACAGTAAGTCAGTATTCCTTCTTTCTCACTATGTCTGAGCCTGGATGATTTTAACTGCTTTTCACACAACCTCTTAACCAAACTGTTCTCACGTCCATTGTGAATGAACATATATCTCCCTATGGTAAGAAAAAAAAAAAAAAATCACCAAATCTAAGGCAAGGTACAGCAAATGAAAAGAAAAGAAACCAACCTAAGAGATCAGAGAAATACTCATCCACACAACAGTTTACTCCAATAAGCAGGGGGAAATCTTTAGAAATCTGTCACGTGTTTATCACATAGAATTTATGGAACTATAAGAGACATTTATTAGATTTAATTATTTGATATCAGAAAAGTTCAGATGTGAATGAAACGCATGGGAGTCTGAAAAGAAGTGATGACCGGTAGATTGGAGCCTGTAAACACACACACACAGACACACACACACACACACCACACACACACACACCACACACACACACAAAACCCCAAAGGGATAATGAAGACAGGATTGAATTCTCCAGAATTCATCAAGAACCAGACTTAAAATTACACACATATACACACAGACACACAGAGATATAATACAGAAATTTCAGAAAAAAATAAAAGAAAGCAGAATGAGTAGAAGAATTAATTAGCACATGATGGAAGATAATTTCTCAGGCTAGAAAGAAAAAGACTAAATTGATCATTGAAGGCTTACTAAACAAATCAAGATGAACAGTAATGGGCCCTGGCCCTGCATGGAAGAAAATTATGCCATCCAGATATTTTAAAACAATACTGCCAATCTCCAGAGATGGGCAAAAAAGAAGAAATTTATATTAGCATCGAGCTTCTGTTCTGTAACACTGGGTAGCAGAAGTTAGTGTTTGAGAGGAAATATTGTACAGTAAAATTTCTGTACTCAGCCAAGCTGCCATTCTTGCAAGGCACAGATGCATAGTCTTACATGAGCAGAACCCCAAACATACACCAAAACGGGCAGGTCACCAGAGGTCAGAAGTTTGAGACAAGCCTGGCCAACATGGTGAAACCCCAACTCTACTAAAATACAAAAATTAGCTGGGCATGGCAGTGCATGCCTGTAGTCCCAGCTACTCGGGGGGCTGAGGCAGGAGAATTGCTTAACCCCGGGAGGCGGAGGTTGCAGTGAGCTGAGGTCATGCCACTGCACTCCAGCCTGGCGCCTGGTGACAGGACAAGACTATCTCAAAAAAAGGAAAAAAAAAGAAATTTAAAACAAGGACTAAAGCGATGTTTTAACATGAATATCCACAGCAGCTTTGTTCATAATAGCCAAAAGGTAGAAACAATCCAAGTTTCTATGAGCAGATGAATGGATAAATAAAATGGAACTTATGCATTCCGTGGAATGTTATTCAGCTATACAAAGGAACAGAATTTGTAAGTGATGGTCAAAGTTTAGTGGAGGGCAGTTTGGCAATATGTACTAAAAGGCTTAAAACCGTGCTTAGCCTTTTCCCCAAATCTGCAAATCTTGTCTCTTGTGTAGATGTGAAGATCTGAATCCTCACGCTGTCTTTGAAGTCAGTGAAGTTCTCATCTCATTTCTTTTCATGTGTACAAGATTGTGCATTGTAGTGTTTTTGCTAACAGTTAAAATGAGAAACCACTTTAATTCCAGACATTAAGGACTTTGTTAGGTAGGTTATGGACTATCCAAGTAATAACCAATACGCAACCACTAAAAATGGCATTGTAGAGCAATATATAATAACTAGAATAATTGTACAATATAGTTCATAAGTATTACAGAGGGTTATAAAACCATGTACAATGTAAGTCATTTGGTTTAACATATGTCTATAAAGATTTAAAGATGTTAAAGTTTTACTCATCCTTTCAGAAAAGGAACTCCATTTGCTTGAGAAACTATTTGGAGAAAAAGTGGGGACTAGATGCAGACAGAACAATTATGTTAAATGGAGAAGTAAGATATCTATTATTCTAGACAGGGAGTCTTAGGGAATGAGCCTGGGTTTCAATAAAATAATTTTACAGACAGGGGACATCAGGTCAGGAAAAATTACAATATAATTACACTACAACATATTTGTGCCTTAAAATACCCTCCCAAATAAGCTAGGCACAGAAGAACTAATACCACATGATTTTACTTATTTGTGAAATCTAAAACAGTTGAACTCATAGAAGTAGAGAGCAGAAAGGTGGTTACCAGGTACTGAGAGGTGGGATGCTGAGATTTGGTCAAAGGACCTAGAGTTTCAGTGAGACAGGAGGAATAAGTTTTAGAGAACTATTCCACAGCATGGTGACTATAGTTAATAATAATGTGTATTTCAAAATTGCTGGCCAGGCACAGTGTCTCATACCTGTAGCAGTTGGGAGGCTGAGGCAGCAGAATTGCTTAAGCCTAGGAATTAGAAACTAGCCTGGGCAACATGGCAAAACCCTGTCTCTACCAAAATGTGCAAAAACTTAGCTGGGCATGACAGTGCATACCTGTAGTCCTAGCTAGTCGGGAGGCTAAAGTGGGAGAATGGCTTGAACCCAGGAGGCAGAGATCACATCACTGTGCTCCAGCCTGGGTGACAGAGCCAGAGCCTGTCAAAAAAAAAAAAAAGAAAGAAAGAAAAAAAGAAAAGAAAAAGAACAAGAAAACATTGCTTAAAGAGTAGATTTTAAATGTTCTCACCACAAAAATAAAGTACATGAGGACACATAAATTAATTTAATCATTTACAACAGAAACATATAGCAAAACATCACAATAAATATATACAATTATTATTTGTTAATTAAAAATAAAATCAAATTTTAAAAATATTTACTGTGTTTTTGCAGCCATACCTAGGCTGGAAACTGCTTCACGTTTTGGCTCTAACACGCTAGTTTAGTCACAGCGAGCACATCAAAAACAATCTCTAGGAGGTCCAAAGTCAGAGGACACCCATGATCCCATGCTCTTAGGCAACTTTTAAATGTATGATAGGAGACAGGCAGAGGAAAACACAAGTAATCATGGGATTATCATCTTCTTTCCTTACTGCAGTGGTTCTCAACTTGTTTATTTGCAGCAATTTTTAAGATTTTTTCTTGGCACACTTGAAAAGATTTTACAGCACAACCTATCAGGCTAGCAATAAGCAAAATTCAATCACTACCTAAAACATAAGAGACTCACTGTGTCTACAAAAACATTGTCATTGCCATAGTCACACAGTTCCCTTTAGCTTTATGTCACCGTTTTGGGAAGAGCTGGTATGTCAATTAAGATTAGATCCAGCTGTAAAAGACAGAAGAAATAAAATAACTGGATCTCAAACATGGATAGTAGTTTACTTCTCTGTCAGGTTAAAAATCACTAAGGTAGGCAGTCCAGGGTTTATACAATGACTCCATAATCCACAGAAACCTAGGTTCCTTCCGTTTTGCTACTCTGACCTCCTCAAAATAAGAGCCCATCTTTTCTCATGATCCAAACTTCAGCCAGCATAGAGGACACAGTGAAAAAGGGAAGGTCAATTCCTTTAAAGGCACTTTCCAAAAGTTGTACAAGAGACTCCGCTTACATCCTCTGGCCAGAAGTAACATGGCTATACCCAGCTGTAAGGAAAGGTGAGAAGCAAAAACTTTATTGCAGGTGGCCAATGGCCCAGTTAAAAATAAAGGCTTCCATTACTAATGAAGGAGAGGAAAGTGGATACTGGTGATGGCACCAGTAGTCTTGACTGCAAATGGTTACTGCCCTGATCACATTTCTTACATAATCAAGTGGAAAACTTCTTAACTCTTGCAGTTACTGCCTCATGGTTATATGGCATTCCATTTTACCCTTTAATTTTTACTTGGTCAAGTTTAGCTCTGCTGTACACCAGAACACATGAATAGCTTTGCTCAGAATTCTTTGTGACCTTGCTCATAGTAACATTATAGATACCTAATAAATTTTTTAAAAGACAAAATGTTCTATGTTTTGTGGACTACTGTGGAAGGTTTTATGGCAAACTGGGTGAGTATCCTTGCCTTTCATATTTCAAGTGTAGGGGTGTGTAGCTATCTTCTGAGGCTCTCATTTACTGACTCTTATGGGTAATCCACCGTTCTTTCCTTTATGCAAGAGATTATCTGAGCACAGCACCCAAAGCTTGAAAGTCACTAAGCTGGGTGCTACAGTGTTATGTATTTCAGTAAGACATCTTCCCTGCTTAATCCAGGAGCTTATCATTTCCTTGCTGGACATACACATGGATAAAATAACTGCAAAGTTTCCTAACAACTTAAGTACAAACATGTCCCATGTCACATAAGGAAAATATCTCATTCAGTTGTGAGGGACTAGGAATAAAAATGAATTGGGGAGGTTAAAATGTAAGCTTGTCCTTAAAAAGAAAGGACTACTTTGCAGATGGAGATGGGGTTTCTTCCTTCCGAGTTCTGCCACGGTGTAATTTGTCCTATAATGTCTAATGTCTACCTGCTATTATTTTCTAAATGGTGAGTTAAATGGGAAATATGTGTAGAGTATAATTACTTTTTATCCTTTGCTTTAGGTTTCGACTCATTGGTTCCCCATCCACTGTTTGTCTCGTCTCAGGCAATAATGTCGCATGGGATAAGGAGGCACCTATTTGTGAGAGTAAGTTGAAATATTTTTCTCCACAAATTCCTCCATGTGATCCTGACTTGCCCCTGGACTATGAAGCATATATCTAAACCTTGCACAAAGTAGTCCCTCAGGTATTTGAAAATACGAGTCAGATGCTTCATGGTCTTCCTGGCTTTTCTTTAGCTTAAAAGGTGATTTATCTGACACTAGGGGCTTGAACCCAGGCAAATAGCCCTACTTTCCTATTGTAATAGTAAACCTTTCCAGTATAGAGAGCGTTGTCCTTAATGAGTAAATTTTAAAGGCATTAGACAAAATTAGATCTGTCTTTGCCAACTCTTACTATCAAGTTACAATTCCAGGAAGTAGGCTATTCACTTTCTTGTTATTCTAATCCAAATAATAAAAAGAATTCTTCTTACAGTTCTTAGCAATTTTTCTAATTCTCTGATTATTTTGAGTTCTAATTCTCCTTCAATTCTTTCAAATGAGAAATCATTCTATTATAAAGACGAATGCACACGTGTGTTTATTGAGGCACTGTTCACAATAGCAAAGACTTGGAACCAATCCAAATGCCCATCAATGATAGACTGGAAAAAGAAAATGTGGCACATACACACCGTGGAATACTATGCAGCCATAAAAAAGATGAGCTCATGTCCTTTCCAGGGACATGGATGAAACTGGAAACCATCACTCTCATCAAACTGACACAAGAACAGAAAACCAGGCTCATGTCTTTAGTTGTATTTGTTCTTGGTTAGCTGACCCTCCATTTTTCCCATAAGATAGATATATATAGAGAGATATATAGATTTTTTTTTTTGAGATGGAGTTTCGTTCTTGTTACCCAGGCTGAAGTGCAATGGCACGATCTCGGCTTACCGCAACATCTCCACATCCTGGATTCAAGCAATTCTCTTGCCTCAGCCTCCTGAGTAGCTGGGACTACAGGCATGCGCCACCATGCCCAGCTAATTTTTGTATTTTTAGTAGAGACAGGGTTTCACCATGTTGACCAGGATGGTCTCGATCTCTTGACCTTGTGATCCACCCACCTCGACCTTCCAAAGTGCTGGGATTATAGGCGTGAGCCACCGCGCCCGGCCCCCATAAGATATTTTTTAATTAATCTCCAAAAACTTTGAGAACATGGAAGAATGATTGCAAATTGGCAAAGTGTTACAGCTGTGAAGAAATCAGCATTGCACACAGAGTTGATGGCAGCAAAAGTAGGCACAGACTTCCAGAAGGCTAATGACCAATATAAACAAAAGCCTGATAATAAATAGCCTCTGACCCACAATTCCATTTCCCAGAATTTATCCCAAGAAAATAATCGTGAAATATTCCCATAATTTTGGTCCAGAGATTCTCAATGCAATAATATTTGTGATAGTGGAAAAACAACCTGAATGTTCAGCATGGTTTGAAAATAGCTAATAGAAGAAATAAGGTGTATTTTAATGGCTATAAGCTTTTAAGAAAGGTAAAAAAGTGCACCATGATGAATTAAAGATTGTGATACCTCATCCAAGTGGGAATACATAGTACATCTATATAGTTAACATGACTGATTATTATCTAGCCACCAAAAATGGTATTATAGAAAATATATCCATACATTCATATGCATGTATCTACATATGTATCTGAGTATATATATAAATTATTACAAATAGTTATCTTTGAACAATTTTCATTTTCTTCTTTCTGCTTGTCCATATTTTATAAACTTGCTACAATGAATGTGTTCATTGTATTCACAAATATTCCTCCCCTCAAAAAATAACATTGACTTTTAAAGATTAAGTGAATGAGAATGTATGTAAGTTGCCTCCTATGCCTACCAAGATCTTAAAATTCTATGAAATAATTCAAATTATCAAAGAATTATCAGTTTAACATATGAAGTTTTCTAAGCATGGCACCATTTGTAGGGGGTTATCTTTTATGAAAAATACTTCCACTTCTACTTTTATAGGTCAGTAATTATTTAAATAAGTCAATAGTGGTTATGTGTATATGTCTATGTAGTCACTTAGCCAATATGTCAACATTATTATCTTATGATAGAACACAGTATTTGTTTATCACTTTATTGCTCTTAAATCCATCATTATTTCATTTTTTCATGCTTTATCTTTTGCATTTCCTTTTCTCTCTTTTGCTTGATAAATAATGCTAGAAGTGGTATATTTAACCTGCAAAGAGGTTATTTTAATAACCTATAGGAAAAATAGTCCAGCAGTAAATAAGTACCTTAACAATCTGTGATAAAATCACATGTATCATCCATTTAAAATTATAAATATGTACACCATAAAAAACATGGATTTTTATATTCAATATTTATTATGCACAGAACCCATATCACATGCACCTAAATTTCAACTAGGTAAAAATGTCTGATTATTAGCAAATACTTTAAGAAAATAACAGTATCATGATTCCATTTAGAAAATCATTGAATTAGTTGCATTTGGTATTTAAATTCATAGTAAAATAATTCATAATTTTTAAAAAGCTGTTTTACCACACTCTTCCTTCTCTCAGTTATATCTTGTGAGCCACCTCCAACCATATCCAACGGAGACTTCTACAGCAACAATAGAACTTCTTTTCACAATGGAACAGTGGTAACTTACCAGTGCCACACTGGACCAGATGGAGAACAGCTGTTTGAGCTCGTGGGAGAACGATCAATATACTGCACCAGCAAAGATGATCAAGTTGGTGTTTGGAACAGCCCTCCACCTCAGTGCATTTCTCTTAATAAATGCACAGCTCCAGAAGTTGAAAATGGAATTAGAGTGACAGGAAATAGGAATTTATATTTCCTCAATGAGATCGTGAGCTTTAGATGTCAGCCCGGCTTTGTCATGGTAGGGTTCCACATCGTGCAGTGCCAGACCAACAACACATGGGGACCCAAGCTGCCACACTGCTCCAGGGGTGAGTGTGACCCATAAAGGCTTTGCTGGGTGTGAGGGTACCCTTAGATGATAGGAGTTGTTGAAATTAAGGAAATGGGTAAGAACTATGAAATTGGCATAAACACTCTAAACATAATAGCAGCTTCACTGTTATCTCTGTTAATAATTGTCTGAAAGCAATTGTCTGAAAGTTTATTCTTTTTTTCATTTATAGTAGCCATATTTTATATGCATTTTAAAATGTAATATTGACAGCAAATATATGAGGTACCTACTGTTTGTATCCCCATTTTACTTCGAAAGAACTGAGTCTTAGTAATGTTAAAGCACTTTTCCAAGGCTCTGACTCCAGAGCCTAATGATAATCTATGGTCAAATGTATAATGAACGATAATGTGTAATAGTGATGATAATGTCTCTATTCCTGGAGTGTGGCAGTAGGCAAGTGAGCCAGGAGGACCAAAGTGAGAGCATCAAATCAAAAAGGCCTTGGACTTCAATTCTTTCACATTGTAACTGAAAAGACTAAAGCTCAGAAAAAGTGCTTTGCTCCAATCCAAGCACGTATATATATTATATATATACTTGGTATATACTCATTTTTCTTTAAGTATATATGGTTCAGATTGAGGCTCAAATGCATTCTTTGGGGTTTTCTTGATTGTTTTTGTTTGTTTTTAAGAGACAACTGTACTCCAGCTCTGTTGCCCACGCTGCAGCACAGTTGTACAATCATAGCTTACCAAAGCCTGTAACTCCTGGGCTCATGTCATCCTCCTGCCTACAGGTGCACACAGCCACACCTGGTTAATTTTTATTTATTTTTAGATAGTCTCACTGTGTTGCCCAGGCTGATCTTGAGCTCCTGTCCTCAAGCAGTGCTCCTGCCTCAGCCTTCCAAAGTACTGAGATTACAGGCCTGAGCCACCATGCCTGGTTTCAAATGCATTCTGATGCCCTGAGAACACACCAATTGTGCTATTCATGGAGGCAGCCAAAATTTGGGTCAAAATGTGCTCTAAGGAATATGTTCACTCACCAAAAAGTCTGTAGCATTTTTTTTTCCTTTGGAGAGATTGTTCTTTGTTTATTTTTCATTTATTAATTTTTAATATTTGAGTCCATAGTAGGTGTATATATTTATGGAGTACATGAAATGTTTTGATACAGGTATTCAATGTAAAAGTAATCATGGAGAATGAGGTATCCATGCCCTTAAGCATTATCCTTTGTGTTACAAATAATCCAATCACACACTTTTATTCTCAAATGTACAATTAAGTTATTACTAACTATAGTCATCCTGTTGTGCTATCAAATACTAGGTCTTATTCATTCATTTTTTTTTGTACCCACTAACTGTTCCCACCTTCCCCCACCCTGGGGGATTTTGTTCTTGATGTCCACTCTTTCCTTAGTTGAAATGACTGGCTTAACATGGAGCGGGAAGAATTAGGACAGGTCCACAGAGACAGAAAGAAAGCTAACGGTTCAACCTTGTACTGACTGAAAAAGGGGCAGAGAGGGAAAATGAAGACTCGGTGAAGGGGTCTGTTAAGTGAGACCTTGGCAATGGTACCCCTTGCAGTTGCCTCATCAATGAGCTTGAAATGAAGCGGGAGAGTGGCCAAGCCACCTGCACTCACAACTCTGTGCTGCATAACCAGTGTTGAAAGCAAGAGGAATATGCTACCTTGTAGTCTTAGGAACATGTTTCAGTAGAAAAAACACAGACAAGGTGTTGGAGACACCTTGATTCTAGTCACAGCTCTGCTTGGTATCCTTAGTTTCCTTGTTAGTGAAACGTGACTACTGAACGACCAATGTTCTCTTTTAATATCTGCACTCTGCAATGACAATTTTTACGCTCTCTGGCAAGCATGAGGTCTAGCAAAAGAAATTCCCCTATAACTAACAAGTACTCTGGAATTGTCCTTCCCACAGTGTGTCAGCCACCTCCAAAAATCCTGCATGGTGAGCATACCCCAAGTGATCAGGACCACTTTTCACCTGGACAGGAAGTGTTCTACAGCTGTGAGCCCGGCTATGACCTCAGAGGGGCTGCTTCTCTGCACTGCACACCTCAGGGAGACTGGAGCCCTGAAGCCCCCAGATGTGCAGGTGTCTCGACTCTCAGGTTTCCAGATTGCTCTCTGTACCCCTCACATGGAGGTCTTACTCCTGTTTTTTAATTTTTCTTCTAGTGAAATCCTGTAATGACTTCCTGAGCCAACTCCCTCATGGCCGTGTGCTGTTTCCACTTAATCTCCAGCTTGGAGCAAAGGTTTCCTTTGCTTGTGATGAAGGGTGAGTGTGACCCAGAGTTGAGACCAAGGACTCAGTGTGGAGAATGACTCTTCTGAGTTCAGGGGTTAATCCAAAAAAGGAGCTGACCTAGTAGATAAGAATTACCCAGAGAGATTAATTTATGGAAGGGTAGTTTTGAAATAAGGGTAGGAAGTAAGTGGCATCACTTTCAGAAGATGACAAGAAATGGCACATACAGCTCCATATCAGTTACAAACCTAAATATAGTCACTGAACTTGAGTACACTGTTGGAACTTGAAATGAATGGGTACATATTTATTTGGAGGCAAAAGAATATAATTTTATATAAGTTATGCAAGAAAAAAATTGATGAGTAAGATGAAAAATTCGTTGCCCCATAATAAGGCAAAGGTTGTTTTAGGAAACTTAAAGCCAATCGATACTGGAATCTGTAATAGCATATGGATAAGTATGTTTTAATCCAATTACATATCTTCATGTCAGGAATGGCCAGTGTAATTGTTTTGATGCAGGACTTTTCTCAGCCATTTTGCCAGCCAGCGACCTCCAACCAATAATGCCCCAATCAGGCCTTGCTCGACCTGGGCTCACTACAGGAGGCACCACATCTACTCGACCCATCGTGCCACACCTGGCTTGTGCTCTGATGTGGATGGCATAGCTGCCACAACTGCATGATCAGCTCCTGGTGGGAGGGGGTGTGTGAGTGAGCCAGTGTGGGGTCTGGCTGGCCACTCTAAGCAATGGCACAGGAGTGGGCTTCATGTGGGTTTTGCGGCTTGACCAGGCATGTCACACTGAAGGGAACATGGTAGTGCCCAAACAGGGGTGCCCATGACTGCAAAGCCCCAGAGAGGGTGCTACAGCATGCTAATAGCTCTTAGCATTTGATAATGCCTGCAGCCCAGCAGATGTTGGTGTGTTAACAGCTCTGTCAGTCCCATTACCCTGCCCAGGCCTGCATCTCCAGGGTGGGCTTGGCCCACTGCTGCTTCCTGTCACATGGAGCAGCTGCCCTCCTCTAGCAGAGGGTGTAAGGTTACTGTGTTACAGCCTTCTTTGTAACTGCGTTTGGTAGGTCCTGAGTTCTTGTCCCGAATCCAAGAAGAATAAGGTTATGCTGACAAAGGGTGAGGAGGGTGGAGAATAATGTTGTTATTGAGCAACAAAACAACTTCTCAGTGGAGAAGAGACACAAGGGTGGTCCCCCGGATGAAGTCAGAGGGTCTCTCTCTCAGTGTGGCTGGTTCTGGGGCTTTTATGGATTCAGAACAGGGAGTGTGTGCTGATTGGTTTGTGAGTATGCAAAAAAGGCTAAAACAAAGCCATCACTCAAAGTTGGGCACGACAGTGTAAAAAACAATTTAGAGAAGGGCAGGTATATGTAAAACAGATGATGGGTGGGGATCAATCAGAGGAAAGCATGCCAAATGAGAAGAGAGGTTCTCCATCCAGCCCATGGGTTTACCTGGAACTTGTAGGTAGGCTTTAAACTGTCTTCGGCTTGAAGGCCACTTTTCACTGTGGACCTGCCCCTATCTGCCTCGGATTTGTCTGTCTCCTGCTTGTATCAGTTTCAAGTGGTACTATTAGTTGTTTATGTGTGTCCATTACTCTTTTTGGTGTGCCCTATGAGTCTGAGGCTAGATTGGATAATTAAGCAGTTAATTTTAATGATTTCCAAGGAATCTTTGGCATTTACAAAGTCCATCACCCGATAATGATTTCCAATTTCAGAATGATTTCAGTAGTGGGATTCAACAAGTTAGGCATTTTGGGGTGGCAAAGACTCTTCCCCTGATCCTTCCTTATTTCTTAAAGCATGTGGTTCAGCATGCTTCTATGAGCCTCCTCTGCCTTGTTACAGTTATCATGGCAAGAAGAACAATGCCCATTCTCTTTCTAGATGTTCCTTGCTTTGCTTACCAAATCAAGAGCTGTTCTGCCTCATGACCAACTAAGGAGAATAAGTGGGGTGTTAGAGAGCCATCAGTGAAAGATGACACCTGAAGGTTATGGCTCTTGTGCACATGGAGAAGTCTGGTTCTGTGTTCATGCATTCTGTAGGTGATGCTGGGCTATGAAGTTTATATGGCAATAATGAACATCAGCTCTAATTGCTTTGCCAGTCACAGGGTACTATGATTCTTTATAATAAATTGGCCTTTGAGTTTCTGCCAGCTACTGAGGAATTCAGATCCCTAATTAACTGAGACTTTTAGCTGGGCCTGAACCTAAGAACCAAATGCTAGTCAAGGAGGAAATGGTAGTGAGGAAGCTGAGCATCTATGAGTGAAGAAATCAAGGGAGAGATGGGAATTGCTCACACATTTGCTACCACTTTTTTTTTTTTTTTTTTTTTAGGTTCCGATTAAAAGGCAGGTCTGCTAGTCATTGTGTTTTGACTGGAATGAAAGCCCTTTGGAACAGCAGTGCTCCAGTGTGTGAACGTGAGTAGGAAGAACAACTATGCAGTTTGGATAGCTCTCCTTATTTTTGTTTTCCAGTGTGTTATTCCGCATGGAATCACCTATTGTACGGATCTTTACTTAACTAAATTGCTGATAAAAATACTTCTTTGTTGGAAGAATTTCAAGAAAGCCCTTGTAAATCCCTTAGTTTAATGACTGGGTTTAATTTTGTGGGGAATGTGTGGCCAGAAACTAGATGACGTAAGGTGCAGCAAGTTTTATTCAGTCATTTATATTTCAGTTTCCTTATCAAGGAGTAACCTTTCTTAAAATTTTTTTTCTTCTTTGAGACAAGAGTTAACCCAGGACAGAATGTAGTGGTGCAATCACAGCTCACTGCAGCCTCAACTTCCCAGACTCAAGCAATCCTCCTACCTCAGCCTCCCAATAGTTGGGACCACAGGTGCATGGCACCACACCCGGCTATGTTTTGTACTTTTTGTAGAGATGGAGTCTTGTCATATTGTCCAGGCTGGTCTCAAACTCCTGGGCTTAAGCTATCCTCCCACCTTGTGGCCTCCCAAAGTGCTAGAATTACAAGTGTGAGCCACCATGCCCAGCCAAATTTTGATGTTCTTTTATCTTCCCACACATCATAAACAATTTAGTCAGCCTGTTATTTAGCCTACAGTATTAAATGACATAGGGCTTCCCATGTGCCATAACTTTCCATGTGTAGAAAAAGCAATGAACAATGAATGAATAGTGAAGACACCTCCCTACTTTCCTGGAGTGTATTTTCTTGTTGGGAAGTGGACTATGAACAAGAAAATAAATAAGTAAACAAAATTCTACAAATTATAACATATAAAATGGTAAATAGGGATACGTTATAGAGAAAATAAAACAGAGTTACATGGTAGATTAGTACAGTGGAAGGAGCTGGGATAATGCATCAGTGTCTGGCATGATGAGATGTCCTACATTTCCAAATCATGTGCTTAAATTAAATATGCCAAAATTATAATATATAAAATGATAGTTAAATAGGGATATGTTGGAGAGAAGATAAAACAGAGTTACAGGGTAAATTAGTATGGTGGAAGGAGCTAGGATGATGAATCAGTGTCTGAAGAGGTGTCCTAAGTTTCCAAACCATCCGCTTAAATAAAAAATGCCAAAATTCAGAAATTGGTAGATAAAAGTATGTTTTATATACCAAGACATTACTGATTTATCCTATTCTGTCTACTACAGCAAGGCAAAAATTTTTTAAACCTTTTTTTCCTGATGATTGAAAAATGTTTGTTTTAATTTGTATTGTTAAAATAACTTACAGAAATTAATTCAGATACCTTATGGGGAGTATTATGGTGAAGAACATCCAATACCTGAGGAAACTCAAGTACTCAATAAACTCAAACTTACAGAGACCCATAGAGCCGAAAATAAATATATAAATAAACTTAGGAAAAACACAAGTAAAATTCAAGCATGAGAATTTAATCAATGTTTGATGTACTAAGTCTTTTATACACACATAATTCTGATATACTTGGGCATCTCTTCCCAAATTCATTTAGAAGCATCAGTTGATTTTAGGGAAGGAACTGTTCTAAGCAGACTAAAAGGAGGAAGAAATGATGGCTAAAAATTTGGAAGAAAGAAAAAAGGGCCCTTTGCCACCATTTAATCTTGGTAAAAGGAGCCTTACCAGTGTAGTCTGATGACGCCATTAGATAGTTGGTATTGGTACTAATGATAGTGGTCTTGAATCACCAAGAAACATTTACATTGCTGAAGATGATAGTGCCTGTTTATTAAAGTTCATAGATTTCCTTGGAACTTATGGTCTCTGATGGCCTAAACTTTGTCTGTCTTTGACCTCATTGGCAACCCAAGAATCTCTCTATGCCTGATTTAAAGTAGGCAACCAAATGGGTGTTGTTAAAAATAGAAATAATTACTTTCCAAATTCATTATGAATGTAGCTACCTGGTTGGTCAAGGAACACCATCTTTGGGCTTTTGCAAGAAACTGTAATTTAGGTCTCCCATCAGTTAGTTCCTTCTCAACAAAAGCCTTACAGATTTAAATTTCATCCACCTTAGTTATATTCTTTCTAAAAGAAAAACGATTTATTCAGAGCACAGTCACAGGTCACTATGATTTCAGTCATCTTATCTGAAACTCTAATAGAACTTAAAGCTCTTGTTTTCTTTCTAGAAATATTTTGTCCAAATCCTCCAACTATCCTTAATGGGACACATACAGGAACTCCCCTTGGAGATATTCCCTATGGAAAAGAAGTATCTTACACATGCGACCCCCACCCAGACAGAGGGATGACCTTCAACCTCATTGGGGAGAGCACCATCCGCTGCACAAGTGACCCTCAAGGGAATGGGGTTTGGAGCAGCCCCGCCCCTCGCTGTGAACCTTCTGCTCATGCTGGTCAGTATCTGCTTCCACATATCCTAAACGGGTTCAGAATATCTAGGTGACAACCTCTACATTTCTGTAGAGACAGTCATTTTTGCTTATGAAAATTTTGCTTTGCTATGACTGTCAGAGAAAAAACTATGTCCCAAGGGAATGACAAACGGTTTCTAGATTGGCAGGCTGTGTCTCAATTGTGGGTATTCTGATGACCCTTCCTATGGGGTGAGGAGTCAGGGATGGTAAGGAGAGAAGGGGGTGGACAGTGAAGAGAATTGGTGAGGTCCAGGTTTTGCAGAGAATATTTTCAAAGTACTGAAAACAAATGCTAAAGAATTTTGTTTGATTCTTCCTGTACTACTACGAGTTGTCTTTATCCTGGATAGATGAATGTGCTGCACAAAACGTACACGTTGATGACGTAATTTCCTTCAGAACTGATAATGCTATAAAGTAATTTAAGAAACTCAGATGTAGGGATTTATACTTTTTAGGTTGTTTCCAAGTGTTTGTTCAAGGCACGGACTCCTTCACCTCACCATTAACAAAGGGAAGTCAGGAGGCCCTGCAGACACAGAGTTTAAGATTGTACTCTTAGCCTCCATAGCTCCTTTCTTTAATATATTAGTCTGGCTTTAAACGACAGTACCTGACAATCGTTGGCGCATTTGTGGCTGTGACTGCCCACACCAGCTCCATCCTCCTGTAAGGACAGAACAGCACTGAATCAGTAGCTTGGCAATCCCTATGGTACTCCCCCATCTGACACAGTTTGCAGGTAGAGACTGTAGAGGATACTGTTTAAATGCCTTGAGGTCGAGGTTTAGAGAAACCATCTTTCACTGATCAAATAAGAGTGAGTGGCTTATGACTTGGCTGACTCAGGTCTTCATGTACCTCTAATAGCCAGAGATATTATTGGATGTGTTGATGTGTTCATATACCTATGTTAACTGAGTGTTTTTCCTTGTGTTTGTGTGGGAACTTGTTTAGCCTGTCCACATCTACCCAAGATCCAAAATGGGCATTACATTGGAGGACACGTACCTCCATATCTACCTGGTATGATAATCAACTACATTTGTGACCCCGGCTACCTGTTAGTGGGAAAGACCTTCATTTTCTGTACAGAACAGGGAACCTGGAGCCAATTGGATCACTCTTGCAAAGGTGACTCATTTCTCTGTATTTCTTATTCTTGCTGGGTTATATAGAAAATTGATGCATGAGGCTTGTAGGGCTGAGAGACCATTGAAATGATTATAATGAAAAGGGTAATATTTTGTCTTCTTGTCAGCTTTCATTTCATCTTATTAACTGTCTTCTTTGCATGGTCGATAGCAGTGTTTCTCCATCCAGAGCATTAGCAAAATCAGCTGGAAACCTTGTTAAAAAGACAGATCCTCAAACTCCATTCCATGGACTCTGATTCTGTTTTGAAGTGAGGTCAAAAGTCTGTTTTTAACAAACTCATCAGAATGTTCTGACCTAGAAAGACCACGACCACACTTTAAGAAATATCACTTTGCCTTCTTGGTTTGTATAGAGGAAAAAATATTGTAGGCTAATTTTGAGACTATTACAACTGAAAAGAAGTCTGTGCTTAAAGATGAAGGACATACTGATGGTTGGGCAGAAAAAGAAAGTAAAACAAATAATGAGTTAAATGAACTAAAGCAAATTAATCAGAAAGACGTATTTTAAATTCAGGCCAGGCACAGTGGTTCAGGCTTATAATCCCAGCACTGTGGGAGGGCAAGGTGGGCAGATCACCTTAGGTCAGAAATTTGAGACCAGCCTGGACAACATGGTGAAACCCCATCTCCACCAAAATAAAAAAATTATCTGGGTGTGGTGGTGCATGCATGTAGTCCCAGCTACTCGGGAGGCTGAAGCAGGAGAATTGCCCGAACCCAGGAGGTGGAGGTTGCAGTGAGCCCAGATAGTACCTCTGCATTCCTACCTGGGTGACAGAGCAAGAAAAAGAAAGAAAGGGAGGGGAGGGGGGGGATTTTAAATTCAGAATCATGATTTACTAACTTCTTTGTTCTATGTGCAGAAATGGGCCAGAATAATGCGTTTAATAAAGAGCAGAGTACCAGTATTTGTTGTGAAGCTGGAGAGAGTTAACGTGGTACCCCCTTTCCTTACAGCGTGACCCAAGTGGCTCCAGGCCTAGAACACAGTTAGCTTAATTCCTAATCTTACCACAGCTTTCCAGTTGCAGAGCTGTTAATCAAAAGTAGATGCACAGTACATTCCATAGTCTCTTACTTTACATTAAGAAATCGGAGTCAGAAAATGTTAAATCATAAGTTTTTTGGAAGAGTAAGATTAATAATTCCTGATTAAAAATATGCTTCCTCTTGGCCAAGGCAAAATGGGTTTTGGAGTCATAGAGCTTTCTATCCTGGTAGATAAAACCAACAATCAACAATAAAATATCAATTTCCTTATGATTTGTCTCATTTCAGAGGTAAATTGTAGCTTCCCACAGTTTATGAATGGAATCCCAAAGAAGTTAGAAATGAGAAAAGTATATCACTATGGAGATTATGTAACTTTGGAGTGTGAAGATGGGTATACTCTGGAAGGCAGTCCCTGGAGCCAGTGCCAGGCGGATGACAGATGGGACCCTCCTCTGGCCATATGTACCCCTCGTAAGTGCAAGTGCAAGGAACGTGGGCCCTTCCTGGTCATGTTTACTTCCTGGTCATAGTTCCCCAGTCATGATCACGGTTAACTTGATCCATATTGGCATCAAGTGTGGTGTGATATTTACGGTGTATGCTACGAGCTAAGGAGTACGATACGTGCATCCACCTCTTCCAAAAATCCCCCAGTGACAGTAAGGCCAGACTTTCTCTTCTCAGGCTTCTCACTCCAGCTCTGCACCTTTTTTGTCTATATCACTCTGTGGTTGCATGAGCCACACAGTAATGATTTATTTACAGCCTATGAGCCTTAAAAGAAATGTTTTCAGCATGAGTTAGGGAGCACCTTCCAAACTGCGGAGAGCAGCCGTCCTGTCTCTCACACCACTGTAGGCGACAGGATTTTAAGCTAGCACCGCTGGATAGAGCAGATTTAGAAATCGTGTGTCATTGAGCTCTGTAGCATGCGTCATTGAGCCCTCTGCTGGCAACTGGGGGGTACTGTAAGATAGAAAATTCCACCCACATCAAGGAACAGATGAGCAAAATTAATAATGAACAGCCTTTCTTAATCTAAGTTAGTGCTATGCTTCCTCCTCTCCCCCCTCTTATGACTCTTCTAATACATGTTCTACACCAAGATTGTTCAAGATCCATTTTTACAATTAATCCTGTAAATGTGCTAACCAATATGACTCACAGATAATATTTCTCAATTATCAGCTTGACATTTCCTTGAAATGAAATTATATTCACTTTTTTGGCAAAAATCTCACTGGATAACTTACTAACTGGATTTAGAGTATTCTGAAGATCTGGCTGGGACTGACAGAAAATTCAGGTAGTTGGGGAACTAACCCTATCAAATATTAGAACAAAACATAAGCCAGTAATACAAAAGTTACTTGGCACCAGCACAAGAAGAAACATGTAAACAAGTGGGACAAAACTGATATTAATAAAATAAAGGGGCAGGGTATGGTGGCTCATGTCTGTAATCCCAGCACTTTGGGAGGCTGAGGCGGATGGATCACCTGAGGTCAGGAACTCGAGACCAACCTGGCTAACAGTGGTGAAACCCCTTTCTACTAAAAAAAAACCAAAAACTAGCCAGGCGTGGTGATAGGCACCTGTAATCCTTTCAGCTACTCAGGCGGCTGAGGCAGGAGAATTGCTTGAAAGGGGGAAGTAGAGGTTGCAGTGAGCCGAGATTCTGCCATTGCACTCCAGTCTGGGCAACAAGAACAAAACATTGTTTTTTAATTGTCAATTAAATTAACAACAAAAAGGTTTTTAGGTGAATACCCAGTAAAAATCAAGGATGTGATGAAATGGATATTGTTGTATGTTGAAGGTGCTGTTGTAAATTTGCAAAAACCCTGATGAAAAACAATTATGCAATGTATGTGGACAATAATACCACTATTCCTGCCAGTCAGACCTTCTACATATTTAATCTAAGGAAATGATGTATAACATAAAAATATTTAGTGCATTTTCTTAAGGGTTTCATGGGAAACTAGAAGCAACTGAAATACACAGTAAAAGTCACTGAATACGCTCTGATGCATCTACTAGATTACACTACTTAGCCTTTATTGCAACTTATTTTTCTACTATATAATTATCTGAAAACACACATATGAGAAAATGTACCAAACAGAATGTATGAAAACATTTTTTGGGTACTAGGATTTGGGGTGACTTTTTTTCTTTAGTTCTGTGTTATAAATTTCTTCTGTAATTGTATTAATTTTTTAAAAGACTTCTCTGAGTGCAGAAGGTAAAATGAGAGTATGTGAATGAAACCAATGGCTTTTTGCATTAAAAAAAATATTAAGACTGAGTGCTGAGGAAAAATCAGGATGACTTGTCACTGGCTGAGAGGCCTGTTCAATCATGTTGCATGCCAGAGTGACCTTTTTGTGGCTTTTGTCTTCCTTTTAGGTGCACATAATGCTCTCATAGTTGGTAAGTTTTATGAAGGGTTTGCTGAGGAATTCTGGCATCTTTAACAGTGAGTACCTACCTATAACGAATGAAATGTAAAAAGAGAGATCAAAATATCTTGAGTTGTAAGTTCAACTAGAAAGAAAATAATGATGAGTTTAGGCCAGGATATGGTGAATAGCATCGTCATATGCATACTGAGTAACCTTCATCAAAGGCTCTTTACCGTCTTTGAACCATTACAAATGAATAGCCATTCATCAGTGTCAAAAAATCTTTATTTGAATGTGGTAGGAGAATGTAACTTCTTCTTTGGGTTATAACCTGGAGTGTGCTTCCAAATGGTGATCACGCCCATTCACACAAATAGCCACA